AGAGAGAGAGAGAGAAAGAGAGTGAGTCATACTGACAGTGCAGCGAAGAAAAAAAAAAACAGAACTGAGCAACACATTGAGAGATTCTAGGGATCCAGTTCAGAAATAACAGAGGGAGAGAGAGGAAAAAACAATTTAACTATTGAAATATAAGAACCCAATTAGTAAATAAAGGTCCGTTGCGTGTGTGAAAGAGAGATAAAAAACCTTTTGCCTGATGATGAAGTCTTCTTCCTGCTCCAAGAAGAAGTTATTGATCTTCTCAATTTCAGCGTTCAACAAACATATAAATCTTGCCTCCTCCAAAGACAAACTCGTATGAGAAAGCGTCTTCAGGTACTTTTTCATGTCTTTGTAAGCTATAAACTCGTTTCTCCACTCCGGCAGCGTCTCCTCTATTTGACGCCTTAGCCGATTCCCATACTTCATCCTCTCTCTCTCTACAATTTCTCCTCCCTTTCTCTCTCCACCTCTTGCTCTGCAATGAGCTTGGCTAAGCAGCTATGCGCATGTATATATATACCCGAGCCTCTCTCGCTCTCTCTCTCTCTCTCTCTCTCTCTATCGCTCTCTAAAGTTCAGGCTTCAACATTGTTGATGGGATCGGGACGTGGGGAATATTTGACAGCATATACCATGCTGGTGTTGAATTTATATGCACGGCACATCCAACACAAATGTGCACACTGACCTCCTCATTAACCAAAATGGCCAAAACGTTAGGTGAGAACTTCGGAGTTCACTCAAAAGGGTTGGCAACAGGCCGGACCGGTCCCGTCCCAGACCTGACCATGACCATACCTGAATTCTCCGGACCTGGAACCAGACCCAAAAATGTAGTCTGCGACCCAGACCTTGAACCTGGACCTGGACCCTCAATAGTATTTAGGTCCAAGATTTGGACTTGGACCCTACCTGTCGGGTCTAATTTTTGGACCCATACCCAAACCTGGATCAAGTCTGTCCCTCAAGTCAGGTCCGAGTCCATTGCCACCCCGATCATTCATTGTACCTAAGCCCCAGTTGGCCAAGGGCATGCCCAATCCGCCCAGGCTATGCCCAGTCCGAGCCAAGCCTAGCTTGATGAAAACAAATTTTTTTTCAAGAACAATAAAGAAAAAATGAGGTTGTGCCGGTCTTAAGTCGCATTTTGTAGCCTAAGCCCAACTTTTTCATGGCGGGCTGACCAGGCCGGGCTAGGCCACCCAACGCATTGCCATTATGTAATATGATTCATGTGCATTATGATAACAAGAAGATCATGAGGATATCACCTTCCAATCTATGAATGTAGCAATGAAGGAACATGCGAATCAATTAATTAGATTATTTAAGGGCCTCAATCCTTGTATTGTCGTATCCATAGATGGGACGGTGATAACCTCATGACCAAGATACTATTGTGGTTATATGAATCATATGACTGCTTGCTAGCATGTCATGATTGATATAACCATCCATCATTTTAGGTTAGAAATGCTGAATCCAATGACTCATAAATTGTGTATCTGACTTGGGAAATGCTTGAGTTGGATCAGATTGGGAGCATGGCAATTCTTGGCCAAAAGCCCCCCAAATTCGCTTCGATCTCCCAAAATTTTTTAGCTTTTTTACTATTTTGGTTCTAACCTGGGAATCTTTCGAATCAGATTGGTAGAATCGAAATCAAAAGACCTTCTACCCCGCCCCTCTTGGGGGGTCATTGCCCCATTCATGTTTTTGAATCACTGGTTCAAGTGACGGTCGACATGAGAGGCAGACTCCCCGTGTGGTTCATCTCATGCTTCGATGCCCACTCTTCATCACCATCCAATTAATAATTAAATGACGGTGAAAAACTTATGAATAGTGCTTGCTAATGCTATGAATTATAGCTTATGCTTTCCCTTGCTACAGAGCATCTATTTCGATTTGGAAGGTCTTGGGTGGTTTGGTCATTGAGATAAAAGATAGGTAGAAAGGGAGTCAATTGGGAAAAGCGCCAAAAAAGGTTTCAGGTTTCAAAGGTGTGTTATTATTATTTAGGGTTTTGGCACCTTAAAATCCCATCGTATATTCCAAGACTTTGAGGTTTGAACAAGAGAGAGGGGACACAAATCTTGAATTTTGGAGGAGAAAAGAAGAGGGCACAAAACCTTGGATCTTGGATGATTCCTTGAATAAAAATGGATGAATCTTCCTCATATATGCCCTTTCAAAAAAGAACCTTCTGGGATTCCCAAAGCATCAACTCTGGTCATAATCATACTTAACAAGAAAATCTCTGATTTTTTTAAATCCATTAAAAACTTCAAGTTTTTTAAAAGATCATAATTTTTTTTTTATTTTTTTAATAGAACCGACATAAATCCACATTTTTATATTTTTTTTCAAAAAAAATATATTCTCTATCTTATTTCTTCTTTAACTTAATATTATTTAATTTTAGTTTAAAGATACGCACATTAACAATTGTCCCGTGGAGTAAATTAAGAATCTTGATTTAATAAAAAAATTCCATCAAATATTTTTCCAATAAATTTCCTTAACAAATTGAATGATAAAATACAACCAGGAAACAATGATAGGTAGAGTTAGAAGAAAAGTTAGAAGAATAATAGGTAGAGTTAGAAGAAGAGTAATAATGAAAAATCGATTTTTCCTTTAAACATTGAGCGTCCTTATAATGAGTAAAAGATATATTCAATGATACTAAAGATTTAGGTAGTTAGGAATTCAATGTGAGATTCGAATCTGCATAAGCATTTTGTTGCTTCCTTTATGCATAGAGGAGTTTGATTAGTTTTATATTTTTGTTTTACATTTTTTATTTGCTTATACTATATACAACATAACATTTTGGATGGACAGTTATTTTACAGATTTGGATCTTTATTTTTTGTTTTAGTTAATTGCAATATTAAACTGAGGCCTTTTTTTGTTTTTTTTCTTTGGGCAATAATCCTATACATTGGTTTATAATTCTTGTTATTTACTAATGTAGTTCTCGTGTATAGTATGTTGTTGTTTCATTTTATGCTCTTAATAAATCTATTGTATGTTTTGTAACAACATGGTAAGCATTATTGTTGAATTTATTGAAAGTTGAGACCCAAAATTATCAAGCATTATTCTAATAACACTTGGCAAGGCCATAAAATCATTGGCCAATGGCTTTAATGTCACCTTTACATATTCGATTTTTTCACTCTTTTTTTTGGAGATAAATTTGTAATTTTCACGATTCTATAGTTTATCTTCTTTTTTTTTGCGATATGTATTTTTTACCTGATTTTTTCTCCAACTTTTTGAAATAAAACCGATTTATTATTGATGTTTTTCTTTGTTGATATATTATATTCCCGGATTTGCTTACTCTGGTTGTAACCAGTGCTCCAAAAATGAAAAATGATGCAAAGAGCCCACTTACTTTTAATACAAGGAGGTCATAATTAATGTTGTCTGCCATATTTCAAATCTAATTATGAATGTACCGTTGACTAGACTCAAATTTTAAAAAGAACTTCTTGAAGATGGTAACACACTCTAAGCCAACCAATTTGACATCTAATAGCAAGTAGCACTTGTGATATTTTGTACCAAAAATAAATGGTATCCTAGTATACAATTCCTTTAAAAATCCGTATTGGGTTTTGAGTTGTCCACCTACTTTGCGTTATCTGGATCAATGAAAATTTGATAAACGAAATTTATAGAAAACAATGATCCAGGCCGGATGATTGGTTAGAAAAATTAGAAAAGGAGACAAGAAAATAGTATGGGGTGATTCCTGGGGGAGATCTAAATCATCTAAGAACCAATTATTCCTTATCAAGATCATTAATTTCCTCATCTTGATCGTTGGATTTTAAAGCCCTGACTCTAAGAGCCAGTGTCTTTCTTCATTCCATGCTAAGTCCACTCAATCCAAATTAATGAAAATATGGAAGGTTTCATCCCTAGTTCCCTACCTGTTGTGGTAGGACTGCAACTTTACCAAAATTAGCAAATTTGAAGCATGTATTGAGGTCAAATTCTTACAATCGAAACCATGTCCTTGTAACATAACTCTGTATATTTTGCTCATAAGTACCTTCTATTTTTCTGAAACATGAGCAATGTATAATGCTTTTCTTCTTTGGATTTGGGTGTACCCTATCCCATATTTTTCTTAAAGGCTCACTTGTAGAGAGAGACGAAAATGCTTAGAAAGAGGTATTCAAGGGGGTGAGTGCTACAGTGTGACATCTAAAGTTCTATTTTTATTGGTCCCAAGTTAAGACATATAGAATTTGGCTCCAAAGAAGCACCCTCCCCTCACCTCTTTCTAGGTTTGGGGACTTATTTTTCCTCAACGATCACCTCAGAAACCAATCCAATTACTTTGAATATCCAAATAATCAAGAAATATTTTCAAAGGATTGCATACTATAAGACTATTCACTTTGGTAGATTAAGGTTACAATCATTTTTAGTCATTAATTGTGAAGTCCAACCGATTATAATGTGTCACAATATTTGAGAAATTATAATTTTAAAGTTTGTGCCTAATCAATGTCACATCCTCAACTACCCTATTTCATATCTTGTGGTCAATAATGATTGTGAATTCATTATGCCAAAAATAAATGATTTTATTGTGTATATTTCCTCTTTTCAAACGTAGACCTCAAAAACAATGCCACAACTTCATGCATAAGAAGAATATACCAAGATATCACCAGAGTCAAAGAAACAACCTTTGTTCAATGCTATAAGCAGAAAAGATAAGAGGCATAGGCAATTTCAATAGCCATGAATACACCTCAACACAGAGTTCAAATGTTGAACCCATGCCCAATTCAATTTTTCCCTTTAAAATTTGAACAAGAGACTCTGACATCAGCACAGTCTTCACTCTTACTCATTTATCCTAATTTCTAAGGAAATTTATCAAACCAATTTATCAAACCAACATCAAGAGATGCACTATTTAACATTCTCCTTCTTGGTCTTTTTTTTAATTAATGAGAATCCTTATTGGACATTAGTTAGAAATTGTTGGACATGCAGTTTCCCATTTTTCCCTTCTATCACATCGAAACCATTCTTTGGAAAAGTCATTTGAGAGATATTAGTATTTTCATATACCAATTTCTCACTCTATACATCCTATGAGATATTGATATTTTTAGACAACAATATTTTAATAATTAAATTATTGTATTTTTGAACACCAATATCTCACTGAGTTATCTTGTAAGATATTGGTAGTTTGGCATACCAAGGCCTCACAGTTATTAAGTTTTTACAAGATGTTGTATTTCGAAGCACCAATACTCATGAATACCTAGTTAGATGTTGGTGTTTAAAAAAAACCTATGTCTCAATCAATTGTGAGATGTGTATTTTTGAGTGCCAATTTAGAATTACTGGCATATGTAAGATATTTGCATATCACATGGTGTTTAGAGTGAGAAATCTATATTAAAAATACCAATAACTCACATAAGTACTATTTATAAAAAGGAAAAGTATACAATGAGATCATTTACCTTTGTTATAAGGTGGTCACAATTAATCTTCACCTTTAGATGTGAAATTAAGTGGCTGGATTTATTCTATTGACCAAACTCAAAATTTAAAAGAAATTTTCTCAAACTTTGTGACACAC